GAAGCAGCCACTGCGCAGAATGGGTCGTTGCTGCTTATGAGCTTTACAGAGCATTGCTTTATTGTTTTTATGTGTTTGCTGATTTCAGAGGGGAGCTGCACCCTGAAAACACCATCTTTGTCTGTTTTGACAAAATTTTGGAAGCCGCTCTTTGTTATCTGGTTGTTGCAGTCTACCAATACTGAAGCACCTGTGAGGAAATAAGGTTTTTTGTTTTTCATCTTGATGGCATGGTTTTAAAAGTTTGGTCGGACAGGTTGGTTCGACCGGTTCAATCGTGAACTGGTTATTCAACTTGTTCAGTCCAAGCTTAGAATCATTTCTACATAAAACCTGGATTGAATAGATCATAATAAGGTTGAACTAGAGAACCGATGAACCGGGCCGGTTTTTAAACAAGCAGTCAATTCAAATATTATTCAATTTTGATCATTTAGTTTTGATCGTATGATTAAAAATAAGATATTTAAATTTAAAATAGAGAAAATATCATGGCTTATTATTTATTTAGAATATATTTTAAAATAGGGGCGATTACATATAGAGCACTCAAAACATTGTTATTTATGAATCAAGCACTCTCCCTCAAATATTAAATGCCATGATGAAACCACAACACATATTTTTCATTTTTTATCAAATTCACAATGATTATGCATCAATTTCATAGTTTAAAAAATCACCTAAATTCTTGATTTGTAAGTAGCAATGTTTCTTGTTCTCTATATGTAATTATTCTTTTAAAGGGGCCATTACATATTATTTACTAAATTAATAAAAATTAATATTAATATATCATTATTCTGTTATATAAATTATATTTAAACAATTGAAATACTTCTGTTTGATTTTCACAACCTTATTTGATTGCAGAAATACATGCAGATTATCATGATGGAAGCAGACTGAAAATTTGAAGAACATTATACCTGAAAGGACTTGGTTGTGTCTTGATGAATTCTGATGGAAGCAAGTGTTACAGTAAACTGTTCCTACGATTATGGCAGTTGGGTCCTGATTAGTGCTTCCGCAGGCAACAAAGAAGCAGATGTGGCTCAGAGCAAGAAGTGGAATCCATGAAATACTGTAGCAGAAACCCATTGTCCCACTGCTCTTCTACAGTGAAAAGATGGAGCTGTGTTTGCTTTTCTGTGCTGAATGTTATGATATATTTCTGTCATGAAGTATAAATAGAGCGAGTGAGGATTAGCTTTTTTGGTGTTCATTCCATTCTTGTGAAAAGTTAGTGCAACTGCAAAGTAAGAAAACGTGAATGCATGTGAATTGGAATAAGGAATTGTTTAAAAGCTTCTTTCCCTCTCTCTCTCTCTCTCTCTCACCACACATTCTTTCTTGCTTCCTCCTGTAATGCAAATTACAAATTTTATTGAAATGTAATTTTGTTCCAACAAATTTTAAAATTAGAATTTTTATAAATTTTCATGTTAAAAAATAACAAATTGTTAAAAATTGATCAAATTAGCCAATTTGTGGTACCACATGGCGACATATTTCTCGAGATGATAAAGTCGTTCTGTGGACATACTTAGGTCTCGCTTGAAAGAGCTTCGTCGTTTAACAAAGCTTCTTTAAAAGTAAAAGTTATGTGACGGAACGGACGGTCGTCTAAGTTCTAAAATGAGAAAAAACACGTTTACGTTGAAATAATTTGAGGAGATGTCGAGATACGCTATTTCATCAAACGAAATATAAATTTACATGTTGACGTTTAAAATAATTATAATAATTAATAATTAATAATTTTTAAAAAATATTTAAATAATATGATGAGTTAAACGACCCTTTTTGAGTTCTAAAGAATTTTCCTTTCACCTAAAGCTTGTGTGAAGTCCAATTATAAAGACTTTTGATAAGTTTCACAAGCATTATGTTGGGAGGTATCTTTCCAACTATTTTTTGTCCATCTTTAGAACTTTGGTGAAGTAGAAAATACTCATTAGTTCTTAACCAGATCAAACAAAAAGCCACCGATAAAGTTGATGGCTAAATAAATTCATTTAGCAAAAGAAGGTCATATATTTCAAACATATTAGTTAGGATTTGAACCAGCCCGACATAATCATTGCCGGGTCGTGATTTCAATAAGTTATTTAAGTAAATTTTCCTCGAATTCTTTCCCTTTGTTCGTTCTTATCAATGAGAAAATATTAGGTGCGTTGCACGTACTTACGACTAGGGCTGTCAAAAAAGCTTCTTGTTCGCGAACAGCTCGTGTTCGGCTCGTTATGCAGCTCATGTTCGGCTCGTTCGTTAAGTAAACGAGCCGAACATGAGCTGCATAACGAGCCGAACACGAGCTGTTCGTGAACAAGAAGCTTTTTTGACAGCCCTAGTCGTAAGTACGTGCAACGCACCTAATATTTTCTCAATATATTTATATCTAAGTTTAAATCATAATTGCTTGTATTGTATTGTTGTTATGCACCTTTTTTGGCATATATTTGGTTCATGTTCGAATCTAGCACTCTACATCTATTTTTTCAGCTTAATTTTAACGAGTCAATTTCGAGCCGAACACGAACAAACTGTTCACGAGCCGGTCTCAAACACGAGCCGATTTCAAACACGAGCAATTTCGAACGAGCAGAACACGAGCCAAGCCTGAGCTCGCTCAAGCTCGGCTCGTTTACAACCCTACTTACGACCAATCAATAAGAGAAAAAAACAACGCATGATTTTAAAGTTTAACGACTTGTAAGAAAATGATTAAATTTTACAACCCATCATCAAAACATCTTATAAATAGTGATGTAATCAAATGATATGTATTCAACAATAATTTTTTTTTAAATCTATTTATTTAAAAACTGTTATAAGAAGAGAATATTTAGAAAAATAAAAATAAAAATTGATATGATTTTTGTATGCTTGAATTGAATGGTTAGAACTTGAGGTTTGAAATTTTTAATTAAAGTGTTGGGAGTTTTTTATATTAGTATTTTTAAATAGTTTATATGTTTATTAAATCTATTTAAATATTTAAGAGAGCATTTACATAAATAAAGCAATGTTTTATATATGTTAATATAAAGTAATTATTACACTTTCTATTTATATATTTACATAAATAAAACAAAAGTTTTATATAGCATACAATACTTATATATTTTCATATATAATATAGCACAACTTTAATTATTAATTATATCTAAATTGCCATAAATATTAAAAAAAATTGATATTTTAACTTTTATGAAATGTAAGAATTAAAGTTTAGTTGTTATATAAAAGTGCAAAAGAATTGTGTGTATGTATGTAAATATTCCAAACTTTTTTTAATTGGTTAGTTCTCAATCAAATTTTAATTATAATAATAATAATATTCTTAATAAATTTAACAATTATATTTATGATTACAATTTAATTTATAATATAATTTAGCTTTAAAGAATTATATCTCTATATTTTTATTTTTAGTTAATTGCCCTATATTATTAAGTTTTTTATTACAATTAGTTTTTTGAATAATTTTTTTTTGCAATAAAAAAAAATTAAAGCATGAGTGAGCTTTATCTTTGCTTACACTAAAGAAAAAAGCTTAAAAAATGTGATGAAAAACTAATTGATGGTTTAGCACTTCAGCTTGAGGCTAGATTTTATTTTTATTTTAAAAATAAAAATTATTTTTCATTATGAGCTTTGAATGAGAATACTCTCAAAAAAAAAAAAAGAAGCCCATAATTTTAGAAAAGAAGATAATAAAGAAAATGTCACTGATGAATATACAATAAGAGAAAAAATAAATTAGAATAAAAAAAAATAAAAGTACATCCTGAAGCCAACTCTATATGTTGTTCTACCGTTCTTCGCTCCTTTTTGTTATGACTGGAAAGGCCTTCTTAGGATATGACTTTTTTAATCCGGCTTGCTAAGGGAGCCTTTGGAGCAGCAGTTTTCGCGCGACGCGGTTTGGGGTTGCGAAACTCAGTTGTTTGGGGCGGCGTTTGGATCGTCGGGGCCGCACCATTTAGTAAAACAAGAGCCCTAGGTTCGACCCCGTGACCCACGTTTCTTCTCATATCTTTTACGTGCTTGCCTCTCATTCTGACCCTACATTCGTCTTCTACACTTTCCTTCCCCGCGGAGCTCCTGCTTCCTCTGCCCTAACCTGTCGTTCCGGACACCATCTTCTTTCGGTATCCCCTTTCCCTATAATTCCTTTAAGATATTTTCGTCTATCGTGGATCTACATTGTATGGATTTGACTGTCTTTTTTTGTGATAAACTATCATGAATTGCTACTGAAATTTAGTATTGACACCCCTTGGGACATTCATTGAAAAATATTGTAAGAAAAGACACAGATCAACTTTACCATTATTTTTATGCTCGCTGCTAGGAGACATGTGCAATTGTGGTCTATTTGAACATGCTCATGCACACCAGTTTCAAATGTTATGATAAGAAAAATATTTTTTTTAGTATGACTCCAACTATACTTCCAAGAAAATATAAAATTCAATGCGATCTACGCCCTAGTCTCGAGAAATGTAGAGCATCTCTGACACTTCATTCTAAGTTTAATTGATCCCAAGGAGACTTGATTCGACCTCTTCCATTACAGGCTAAAGTAGTCAAGCAAAACCTTCGACATATAGCTTGGATAAGTCAAAAATCCTTGGTGGATTTCGTTCGAACTCTACAAGCTACAATCGTCAAGCAAAAGCTTCGGCATACATCCTTGTATAGGTAAAAAATTTTTGGTGGATTCCTTCAACCGCTTCTATAACAGGTTATGGTCGTCAAACAAAAGCTTCAACCAACAATCTAGGATATGTCAAGCATCCTCAGTGGATTTGATATGACTATATTCATTACGGATTAAAATCATAAAAAATCTCGGATTATACAACTCAGAATTAGTTTTACATCCTAAATGGATTCTCCTTTCAACCATGCTCCTAGAAGATGGGCCTAAGAAGAAAGACTTGACGGGGTGATACAATACTCTTGGAAGTCAAGCCCAATAGGCAAGGCTCAATGAGAACCTACCATGCCCCTGGAAGACAAGCTCAACAGGCAAGACTTGATGGAAGCTAGTGATAGACAGAGTCCTCACTATAAGAACTCCACAAGAGCAAGTGGTTGACATGGCCTCCACTCAAATACCTCAGAAAGCTACAAGCCTCAGAAGACAAAGGAACATAAGGTACATCAAAAACTTCAGAGGGATACAAGCCTTAGAAGGCACAGGTACATTAAAGACCTCAGAAGGTCACGAACCTTAGAAGGAACTGATTCAAGCTTCTATAAGGCATATGCCATATAAGGCACAACCTCTGAAGGCATGAACCATAAAAGGTACATGATTTTTTATTTCATAAAATTTGTGTGCTAAATTTAATTGCAGAATATTGTACGATTGAGAAGCCACAACAACCTCAGAAACAAACAAAAAAAAAAAGCTTCAACATTATCACAAAAAAGACACGGCGGCGTGGGGGGAGGGGGTTCTCATTATCATTGAAGAACAACTTTTTCAATTCACTTTCAAGATCATCATCAGAATCTAAGGAAGGATCCTTTAAAACTTGGCTGGGAGTGAGCCCCTTCATGACAATCTCGATTCAGCGTTGCGCCGCTCGACTCCTCTTCAAAAAACCTCGGATGTCGGATGAGTCCTTCCTGGGTGAGCCATTTTTGCCCCTCCATCAAGTACCCAATCACGAGCCTCTTGAACATGGTCTCGAATGATAGTCTCGGATGAGTCCTTCCTGGGTGAGTCATTTTTGCCCCTCCATCAAGTACCCAATCATGAGCCTCTTGAACATGGTCTTGAATGATAGTCTTGAACTGAAGAGAATTTTTTAAGTCCTCAGTTACTTTACGCTTAACTTATACAACATCAACTTTCTTCACAAACCTTAAAAGACAGATCTCTTCTTCTTGGCCTGACGTCGTCGACTTAAGGGCTTTCACGCTTCTATTAAATTCATTAAGGTCAGGTTGTGCTCTCTCCAGATCTTGAAGCTACAACGAGAGGGGAGTTGTCATTGTTGAGAGTTCTGTCTTGCACTTTGTCAACTGCGATTCCAGAGTTGTGACTCTTTCAACCCCAGATTCATATCGAGACAAGCTCAACGGGCAAGCCTTGATGGAAGCTAGTGATGGATAGAGTTCTCACTAGAAGAACTCCACAAGAGCAAGTGGTTGACACAGACTCCACTTAAAGACCTCAATAAGCTACAAATCTTAGAAGACAAAGTTACATCAAAAACTTCAGAGGGATACAAGCTTAGAAGGCACATGTACATTAAATACCTCAGAAGGCCATGAACCTTAGAAGGAACTGATTCAAGCTTCTATAAGGCATATATCATAGAAGGCACAACCTCTGAAGGCATGAACCATAAAAGGTACACGGTTTTTTATTTTAGAAATTTGTGTGC